CGATGGCTGGGTCATGTAGCCCGCATGCCCAGCCACCGCATGCCGAAACAGCTTTTGTTCGACCGGATTGAGGGGGCTAAACGGGCGCGGCACGGGCTAGAGAAGAGATGGAGTGATGTGGTACAGGAGGACGTGGAGCTGAGTGGACTTGCCGATGACTGGTACCAGCGGCGTCAAGATCGGCCTCTGTGGAGGAGGCTCGTGAAGGATGCTACTGGGCAGTTGGAGGCAGTCGCCCTCCAACAACAACAACGGAGGGCGGAGGAGCGACGCTCACAACAACGAGCGGAGCGCCGGGTGGCTAAAGCACAGCAGGTTGGCACAATAGGGGGCACAGGTGGTGCATCAGCCAGTCATCTCAGTCAGTCCACCCGTGGCATCTGCTGGGTCTGCCCCGTGACCTCCTGCCAGCGGGCGTTCGACACTTCACGTGGCCTCAACATGCAACCTAGCCTGGCACAAGCGCTGTGGTGATGTCACCGCCACTTAGTGTGTGTGTTAGTGTGCATCTTGAATTGAATGTAACATATGCATGCGCTAAACTATGCATGCATACCTATAGATATATAGACACAAATCTCTCCCATATAGCCAATAAAAGTGCTGTTTGGGGCAAGTGCTGTTGGTAAGAACCCATTACTAACACTGAGCCCTATGGGAGACTTTAACACTGAGCCCTATGGGTAGACTTTAACACTGAGCCCTATGGGGAGACTTTAACATTGAGCCCTATGGGGAGACTTTAACACTGAACCCTATGGGGAGACTTTAACACTGAGCCCTATGGGGAGACTTTAACATTGAGCCCTATGGGAGACTTTAACACTGAGCCCTATGGGGAGACTTTAACACTGAGCCCTATGGGGAGACTTTAACACTGAACCCTATGGGAGACTTTAACACTGAGCCCTATGGGAGACTTTAACACTGAGCCCTATGGGGAGACTTTAACACTGAGCCCTATGGGGAGACTTTAACATTGAGCCCTATGGGAGACTTTAACACTGAGCCCTATGGGGAGACTTTAACACTGAGCCCTATGGGAGACTTTAACACTGAGCCCTATGGGGAGACTTTAACACCGAGCCCTATGGGGAGACTTTAACACTGAGCCCTATGGGAGACTTTAACACTGAGCCCTATGGGGAGACTTTAACACTGAGCCCTATGGGAGACTTTAACACTGAGCCCTATGGGAGACTTTAACACTGAGTCCTATGGGAGACTTTAACACTGAGCCCTATGGGAGACTTTAACACTGAGCCCTATGGGGAGACTTTAACACTGAGCCCTATGGGGAGACTTTAACACTGAGCCCTATGGGGAGACTTTAACACTGAGCCCTATGGGAGACTTTAACACTGAGCCCTATGGGAGACTTTAACACTGAGCCCTATGGGGAGACTTTAACACTGAGCCCTATGGGGAGACTTTAACACTGAGCCCTATGGGAGACTTTAACACTGAGCCCTATGGGGAGACTTTAACACTGAGCCCTATGGGGAGACTTTAATACTGAGCCCTATGGGGAGACTTTAATACTGAGCCCTATGGGGAGACTTTAACACTGAGCCCTATGGGAGACTTTAATACTGAGCCCTATGGGGAGACTTTAACACTGAGCCCTATGGGAGACTTTAACACTGAGCCCTATGGGGAGACTTTAACACTGAGCCCTATAGGGAGACTTTAACACTGAGCCCTATGGGAGACTTTAACACTGAGCCCTATGGGAGACTTTAACACTGAGCCCTATGGGGAGACTTTAACACTGAGCCCTATGGGGAGACTTTAACACTGAGCCCTATGGGAGACTTTAACACTGAGCCCTATGGGAGACTTTAACACTGAGCCCTATGGGAGACTTTAACACTGAGCCCTATGGGAGACTTTAACACTGAGCCCTATGGGAGACTTTAACACTGAGCCCTATGGGGAGACTTTAACACTGAGCCCTATGGGGAGACTTTAACACTGAGCCCTATGGGAGACTTTAACACTGAGCCCTATGGGGAGACTTTAACACTGAGCCCTATGGGGAGACTTTAACACTGAGCCCTATGGGAGACTTTAACATTGAGCCCTATGAGGAGACTTTAACACTGAGCCCTATGGGAGACTTTAACACTGAGCCCTATGGGGAGACTTTAACACTGAGCCCTATGGGGAGACTTTAACACTGAGCCCTATGGGAGACTTTAACACTGAGCCCTATGGGAGACTTTAACACTGAGCCCTATGGGGAGACTTTAACACTGAGCCCTATGGGAGACTTTAACACTGAGCCCTATGGGAGACTTTAACACTGAGCCCTATGGGGAGACTTTAACACTGAGCCCTATGGGGAGACTTTAACACTGAGCCCTATGGGAGACTTTAACACTGAGCCCTATGGGAGACTTTAACACTGAGCCCTATGGGGAGACTTTAACACTGAGCCCTATGGGAGACTTTAACACTTAACTGAACATTCATCATCATCATGATCATCATCATCGTCATCGTCGTCCTCATCGTCATCATCGTCATCATCATCATGATCATCATCGTCATCGTCGTCATCGTCGTCATAATCATCCTCATCATCGTCATCATCATCATGATCATCATGATCATCGTCGTCATCATCGTCATCGTCGTCATCATCATCATCACCATCATCATGATCATCAACATCATCAGTTGGCTGTGCGAATCAGCGATTGCATAAACAACCCCCCACAGTGGAACGTGGACGGTGTCTTTGTGACGTCACCCAATATGGGGGGGGGCGTGGTCTCTGGTCGTGACGTCACAAAGGAACGAGGACGTGGCCACGTGGCACACGCGGGGACCTCGTTCGAGGCTGAGTTGACCTGGAGGGGGAGGCGCCTGGATCACGGCCATCGCTGATGTGAGTCTGAGTGTGTGGAGTGTGTGTAGTGTGTGTATGCATGTGTATGTGTGTGTATGTGTGTGTGTGTAGTGTGTGTGTGTCTGTGTGTGTGTCTGTGTAGTGTGTCTGTGTGTGTGTGAGAGTCTGAGTGTGTGGAGTGTGTGTATGTGTATGTGTGTGTCTGTGTGGAGTGTGTGTGTCTGTGTGGAGTGTGTGTGTCTGTCTGTGTGTGTGTGTGAGTCTGAGTGTGTGGAGTGTGTGTAGTGTGTGTATGTGTGTGTATGTATGTGTGTGTCTGTGTGTGTAGTGTGTGTGTGTGTGGAGTGTGTGTATGTATGTGTGTGTAGTGTGTGTGTCTGTGTGTGTGTAGTGTGTGTGTCTGTGTGTGTGTGTGTATGTGTGAGTCTGAGTGTGTGTAGTGTGTGTATGTATGTATGTGTATGTGTCTGTGTGTGTGTCTGTGTAGTGTGTCTGTGTAGTGTGTGTGTCTGTGAAGTGTGTCTGTGTGTGTGTGTCTGTGTGTGTGTGTGTGAGTCTAAGTGTGTGTGTGTGTGAGTCTAAGTGTGTGGAGTGTGTGTAGTGTGTGTATGTGTGTATGTATGTGTGTGTCTGTGTGTGTAGTGTGTGTGTGTGACTGTGTGTGTGTGTGTGTCTGTGTGTGTGTGTCTGTGTGGGTGTGTGAGTCTGGATGTGTATGTGTCTGTGTGTATGTATGTGTGTTACTGTGTGTGTGTATGTGTGTGACTGTGTGTGTGTGTATGTGTGTGACTGTGTGTGTGTGTCTGTGTGTGTGTCTGTGTGTGTGTGTCTGTGTGGGTGTGTGAGTCTGGATGTGTATGTGTCTGTGTGTATGTATGTGTGTTACTGTGTGTGTGTATGTGTGTATGTGTGTGACTGTGTGTGTGTATGTGTGTGACTGTGTGTGTGTGTATGTGTGAGTCTGAGTGTGTGTAGTGTGTGTATGTTTGTATGTATGTGTGTGTAGTGTGTGTGTCTGTGTGTGTATGTATGTGTGTGTCTGTGTAGTGTGTCTGTCTGTGTGTGAGTCTGAGTGTGTGTGTAGTGTGTGTGTGTAGTGTGTGTCTGTGTAGTGTGTGTGTCTGTGTGTGTGTGTCTGTGTAGTGTGTGTGTCTGTGTAGTGTGTCTGTGTAGTGTGTGTATGTATGTATATATGTGTATGTGTGTATGTATGTGTGTGACTGTGTGTGTGTGTGTGGGTCTGAGTGTGTGCAGTGTGTGTAGTGTGTGTATGTATGTATGTGTGGAGTGTGTGTGTCTGTGTGTGTGTCTGTGTGTGTGTCTGTGTGTGAGTCTGAGTGTGTGGAGTGTGTGTAGTGTGTGTATGTATGTGTGTGTGTCTGTGTGTGTAGTGTGTGTGTGTGGAGTGTGTGTATGTATGTGTGTGTGTAGTGTGTGTGTCTGTGTGTAGTGTGTGTGTCTGTGTGTGTGTAGTGTGTGTGTCTGTGTGTGTGTAGTGTGTGTGTGGTGTGTATGTAGTGTGTGTGTGTATGTATGTGTAGTGTGTAGTATGTGTGTCTGTGTAGTGTGTCTGTGTGTGAGTCTGTGTGTAATGTGTGTGTGTAGTGTGTGTGTGTAGTGTGTGTGTATGTGTGAGTGTCTGTGTGTCTGTGTGTGTGTGTCTGTGTGAGTGTCTGTGTGTCTGTGTGTGAGTCTGCGTGTGTGTGAGTCTGTGTGTAATGTGTGTGTCTGTGTGTGTGTCTGTGTGTGTGTGATTCTGTGTGTAATGTGTGTGTCTGTGTGTGTGTCTGTGTATGTGTGTGTCTGTGTGTGTGTGAGTCTGTGTGTAATGTGTGTATGTGTGTGTCTGTGTGTGTGTCTGTGTGTGTCTGTGTGTGTGAGTCCGTGTGTAATGTGTGTGTATGTGTGTGTGGTAGTGTAGTAGCGGTTAGCGCTACGAACCCGGCGACCCGGGTTCGATTCCCGCTCACGACCACCACCACCACCACCGCCAGCGACGATTCTCTGAACCGGTCCTGGGCCTCCCCTAGGTCGACTCAGCCTCAGATGAGTGTCTGGTGTAGCTGTGGTGTGTAGTGAACATCGCCAGCACTGGGGGAGAGACAAAGGCGGCCGGGCGTGTTGCTGGTGGCCACCCGCCCTCTCTCTGTCTGTGTGTAGCCACAGTGCCGGTAGCTTTCACAGGCTGCTGCTGCTACTCGCTACTAACAGCACTTGCCCCTACAGTCTGTTACAGGCTACACGGGGGATCTTTGCCTTTGTGTCTGTGACGAGACATGTCGGACCACCGCACGTGGCGAGCCCCCCGGGAGGAAAAAAATCCATTATTGCGCAACAGGAAGTGACATCACCGCCGTTGTGTGGCGTCGCAGGAAGTGACATCGCAGGTGACGTCACCGCCATTGTTTGGGGGTCGGCAGGCGGTGGCGTCATGCTCATTGTGTTGGGTCGCAGGAAGTGACATCACGGCCGTTGTGTTGTGTCACAGGAAGTGACATCACCATCGATGTGTGGTATTGCAGGAAGTGACATCACCGCCGTTGTGTTGTGTCGCAGGAAGTGACATCACCGCCGTTGTGTTGTGTCGCAGGAAGTGACATCACTTCCATTGTGTGGTATTACAGGAAGTGACATTCCCACCGTTGTGTTGTGTCGCAGGAAGTGACATCACCGCCGTTGTGTTGTGTCGCAGGAAGTGACATCGCCATAGATGTGTTGTGTCGCAGGAAGTGACATCACTTCCATTGTGTGGTATTACAGGAAGTGACATCACCGCCGTTGTGTTGTGTCGCAGGAAGTGACATCGCCGCCGTTGTGATGTGTCGCAGGAAGTGACATCGCCGCCGTTGTGTTGTGTCGCAGGAAGTGACATCGCCGCCGTTGTGTTGTGTCGCAGGAAGTGACATCACTTCCGTTGTGTTGTGTCGCAGGAAGTGACATCACCGCCGTTGTGTTGTGTCGCAGGAAGTGACATCACCGCCGTTGTGTTGTGTCGCATGAAGTGACATCACCGCCGTTGTGTTGTGTCACAGGAAGTGACATCGCCGCCGTTGTGTTGTGTCACAGGAAGTGACATCGCCGCCGTTGTGTTGTGTCGCAGGAAGTGACATCACCACCGTTGTGTGGTGTCGCAGGAAGTGACATCGCCGCCGTTGTGTTGTGTCGCAGGAAGTGACATCACTTCCATTGTGTGGTATTACAGGAAGTGACATCACCGCCATTGTGTTGTGTCGCAGGAAGTGACATCACCACCGTTGTGTGGTGTCGCAGGAAGTGACATCACCGCCGTTGTGTTGTGTCGCAGGAAGTGACATCGCCGCCGTTGTGTGGTGTCGCAGGAAGTGACATCGCCATAGATGTGTGGTATTGCAGGAAGTGACATCATCGCCGTTGTGTTGTGTCACAGGAAGTGACATCACTTCCATTGTGTGGCATTACAGGAAGTGACATCACCGCCGTTGTGTTGTGTCACAGGAAGTGACATACCTTCCATTGTGTGGTATTGCAGGAAGTGACATCGCCGATGTTGTGTGATATCCCAGGAAGTGACATCACCATCATACAGGAAGTGACATCACCGTCATGTGATATTGCAGGAAGTGACACCACCACCGCACAGGAAGCGACGTCACCGCCACCGCACAGGAAGTGACGTCACCACCACCGCACAGGAAGTGGCACCACCACCGCACAGGAAGTGACGTCACCACCACCGCACAGGAAGCGACACCATCACCGCACAGGAAGTGACGTTGCCACCGCACAGGAAGCGACGTCACCGCGGCCCACCGCTCAGACGAGGAACT